ATTTTACTGAATTGCACATCTGTACTTCTCACTAGATATTTTCTGATTTCCCCTAACTGGAAACTAAAACGACAACTGTTAACCCTGTTAACCCTGTACACAGAAGACCCGAAATTTAGTTTGTGTCTTCTCTAGGGCTAGGGGAAAATAATAAACCCTTCCTAAACTTCTAACTGGCATCAACAATGAATGCTAAATGGAGCACTAGTCTAATTTTGTATTTGATTTCCCAACCTGTGGCTTTCATATGGTTCAGATCACAATTCCTTGAATTCCCAAAGGAGGTGCTAAAAGGGGCTGCACAGGTTGCTGGCTTAAAATGGAGTTGTAGTTCTACAATTCCAGGAGGACACCAGGTTGGAGAATACAAGAGTGAGCAAGAATTATCAGTTAAAAGACTAAGTAATGTATTATCAGAAGATTTCATGGATTATCCCCTCTTTGCATTTCATGAGGTAGATTGGGATTTATAAATTGTCTGTGACAATGTCCATGGAGATTCTCAGACATCCAGGTCATGATTGTCTCAAAGGTGCTTTTCCAAAACACAACTGGACTTTCTTTATTTTTCCTTGAAGACATTTCACTTCTCATCTAAGAAGCTTCTTCAGTTCTGACTGAATGGTGAAGAATGAAAGTATTTATATTCCTTGCAGTCATCTGGTCATTAACAATAGCAATAACACTTAGACTTTATTTACCATTTCACAGTGTTTTACAGCCCACTCAAAGTGGATTACAGAGTCAGCATATTGCCCCCAACAATCTGGTTCCTCATTTTACCAACTGCAGAAGGACAGAAGGCTGAGTCAACCCTGAATCTGGTGAGATTCGAGCTGCCAAATTGCAGGCAGCCACCAGTCAGCAGAAGTAACCTGGAGTACTGCATTCTAACCACTGCGCCACCACAGCTTTCATTAGCACTCCCTCTGAGAATTGTTGAGGCCACTTGGAGGTCTATGACAATATATATTCTTTAAACTTTAAGATGTCCCAAGTCCTTGATCCTTGCAAAAGACTGAGAGTGATGGAAAAGAGTTAGAAACAAGCAAACAACAATTTAAACATTTATATTCCATATTTATCTCAATGGAATATAAAGTGCTACAAGTTCTTTATTTATTTATTCTTGCAGAAGACTAAGAGTTATGTGGAAAATAGAAACAAGCAAACAACAGTTTAAACATTTATATTCCATACAATTATAGTCATCTCAAGAAACTTTAAAAATAAAGATTTTCTCAGAGCAAATTTCCAAACTGCACAAGTTGTTCTACCACACAAGGAGGACAGCAGGTGGAAGAATACAAGAGTGAGCAAACGTCCCTTTGTCTTGCTTTTAGTCTTTCCAAGAGACTGGGGCAAAGGTGCTGTGCTCAACAATGCAGACATGGCTTTGCTACCTTGTCAAGGAGTGTAATCTTTGATGCGGAGCCTCTTCTCCAAGTCACATGGGCCTCATTATCCTCCTCTCTAAAATGTCTCCCTCTGGTGAGAAAGGTCACTTTGCACAAATACCTCGGCGGGGGCTTTTATGGCTTTGTGGGACTTCTCTGTCATTGTTCCCTCGCTTGGCTGCACCTCTTGGTTCCTTCCTTCCCCATCAGCCCAACCCAGCTCCAGTGCATGGAAGTTGAATAGACCTGGTGCTTTACTAAATGCAGATCCAGTCCTCATTAGCTATTCCTTGAGAGTGACTTTTTTCTTGCTTAGGCAGCTGAAACTAGAGGCAGAAAAGGCAGCAGGGAAATGTAGTTAACAGCTGTGGGGAATTGAAAGACATTTTTGACAATAGGAGAGCTTCATCATTGTCAGTCTTTCTCACCAAAGTCAGGCTGTTGGGGGATTTTTTCCCATCCTAATTTTGCAAGAGGCTACTGGAAAAAGACTGATAAAAATGAAATGTGACATTTACGGCAGACAAGCTACCCCATCCCACCTCTGCTATAGCCAATCCATTGGCTCAAAGACAGTCTTCAAACATCAGAAACAGCTCTGCAGGTTTGGTTTGGTTTTTACTCCTGTGTTAAAATAGGCTATGTCAGTTCTGAGAAGCTTTCTCCCTTCGAGAAAGAGGTTTGTGGTTTTCTATCATACTCTCCACTGGATGAACTTGGGATGCAATCCATGTATGTAGTAAGTAAATGCTTAATACTAAATAGACTATGATACTTACCATGACCCTACTTTCCACATAGTTTGGGAAAAATAAATCGAGTCAAAGAAAGAGATAAATACTTGATTGATTTAGTTGACTTTGCATTATTTAGATGCAAAAGGTGTGCTGGTTGTCCTAAAAGACTTGAAAAGTACACAAGGGTGGAAGAAGGCTTGTTACCCTTAGCCAGCCAGTGCTTTGATCAGTCCGTAGCATCAGCCTTTTGTTTTCATTAAGGTTAAAAAAAATGGCAAGATACTCCATAGTTTTGGAGCAGAACTCTGTTAACCGAGAACAATCAGAGGTGGTATTCAGCAGGTTCTGGAGAACCGGTAGCAGAAATTTTGAGTAGTTCGGAGAACTGGCAAATCCCACCTCTGACTGGAGATTTTACAGTATCCTTCCCCTGCCACACCCACCAAACCACGCCCACAGAACCGGTAGTAAAAAAAATTGAATTCCACCACTGATGACAATGGCCATTACGTTCCAATGAATCAACCCTTGCTTTACATTCTTTCCAAAAGCTTCAAAAATCTCTTGCATTACATAGATCTCTGGTCATTTGGCTGTGAAATGCATTCAGTCTGGAGCAGTGGATGTAATACGATTTGGTAAAATCCTGTTTAGAATTTCCTCAGCGATTCGTTAGCTGTGTCCAGCCAGTCAACAATAAAGATAACAAGCTGTTGTCACTGTGTATTTCTGAGGAGTTTTAACTCTGAGAGCCTCTTTTTTTTCCTTCCTTTACTTGTTTGTTCCCATTTTGTTTAAAGGCTGTTGCTTTCATTTACTCTGAAGTTTTCAGCTCATTCCCCACCCCCGTCCCGAGTGAGAATCGTCTTTCATTCATGCTGACTGGGATGCATTTTCTTAGTGTAGGGATTTAACAGAAACAGAACAGAATAACAGAGATGGACGGGAAGGGACCTTGAAGGCCTTCTAGTTCAACCGCCTACTGATGCAGGAGACTCTAGACCATTCTGAACAAATGGCTGTCCAATTTCTTCTTAGAAACCTCCAGTGATAGAGAAACTGCCACTTCTGGAGGCAAGTCGTTCCACTGATTAATTGTTCTGTCAGGACGTTTCTCCTTATTTCTAGATTGGTTCTCTCCTTCATTAGTTTCCTTCCATAGCTTCTTATTCTGCTTTCAGATGCTTTGAAAAATAGGTTGACCCCCATCTTCATCGCCCCCTAGATATTGGAACATATCCTATCACCCCATTTTTAGTATGACACTGAGCTGTCTTTTTTATGAACACAAACCAACTTGTTAATTATCCATCTGGGAATGCATGATATGTATTTGTTTGTTACAGTCTCATTCTCCCTTGCCCCTAGAGTTTCAAGGTGACGTACTTAGTACTCCCTTCTCCAGTTTTATCTCCTAACAATAATCTAGTGTTTGGGTAGATTGATTTGAGGAATATTTCCTGGCCAAAGTCACTCAACTACATGGGTAACTTTTGTCATATTTGGGGTACTTTGCTGATTGGGAATTTTGGAAAGCCACAGCTCTGACATTAAAGATTATTAGGTTCAGAGAGACCTTTTTAGAGCAATTAATTTGAAAATGATGAGAACAACTATAGACTTTCCCCTCCATAATCTGATTATTTCAGCATGTCTACTCCAAAATAACTTCTAGTGTCAGGACTCCAACAAATCCACCCCCATTCAAATCATAAGTCTCTAGCCGCATTTCAGAGAAAAGAAAATTGATTTATTAGAAGAGGCCATGTTGGTGTTGGCTGGATGCAGCCAAATAAAAATTAAAAATAAAAATAATAAAAATTCATTTCCCCTTTGATCCTGGTCTTCCCCCCCACCCCCTGGATGTGTATTCTCCAATGGGACACATCCATCCCCAAGAGTCATCAGTCATGCTCTCCAGTAATATCCTTGCGCTCCGACAACTTTGGGCTGCCAGAGTGATTATCTAGGCACTTAAGGAATGCACTGTTTTCCCCCACTCCTTTTTTCTGGCAACTAAAAAGACCAAAGGAGTATTTTTTAGTTGACATCTAGTATGTTCAGTAGAGCCTTCTTCCAGGTATATGTGTCTGTAAGATTTTACCCTAAATTGATACAAATATTGTTATTTTAGTACAGGTAGCCCTTGACTTACAATAGTTCATTTAGTAACCATTTGAAGTTATAATGGCACTGAAAAAGTGACTTATGATCATTTTTCTCATTTATGGCCATTGCAGCATCCCCATGGTCATTGATTTACATTTCGATGCCTGGCAACTGACTCACATTTATGGTGGTTGCAGTGAACTGGAGTCACACAACCTTCTGACAAGCAAAGTCAAGGGGAAAGCCAGATTCACTAAACACCTGTGTTACTAATTTAAAGAACTGCAGTGATTCATTTAACAACTGTGGCCAGAAAAGTCATAAAATGAGGCAAAACTCATCAACAAATTCCTCACTTAACATAAATTTTGGGCTCAATCATGATCGTAAGTTGAGGACTTCCTGTATTTTTAAGATTACTGGTAATCCTCGACTTACAACCACAATTGGAACTAGAATTTTCATTGCTAAGAAGGAGGTTGTTAAGTAAGCCATGTCTGATTTTACAACCTTTTCTTACCGTTTCCAAGATTAGATACCTAACCCCAACCTCTCACAGGCTAGCGATTCGTGTTTCCACATTGGATACAGAAACTTTTCTTTTTAAATCCTTCAATATATTCACAACAACCTCTCAAAGATCCTGAGACAGGGGCTAACACCGCCCCCTCCCCTTGAAATGTCACTTTGTGCTCAGGGTTTGATCCTCTCGGTCCTTCAACCCTTTTGCTTTTTCTCCTGTGCTTCTTCTTAACAGATGACAGCCACAGCCCAGCAGCCAGCAAAAGCACAGCCGGTGCATGTCACCACACCCTCGGCAGCAAGCAATGCTCCCCTTCCCAGCACCCCGATCGACCCTCAGGCACAGCTGGAGGCTGACAAGAGAGCTGTCTACAGGTACAGAGGATAATGCTAACCGTCTGCTCTTTGATGTTGCTTTCCATCCCTGTGGTGACACGCGGAGCGATTACTGGTATTTGTCCTAAGGCTAACTTGTCCAAAGGTGCTACATAGAGGCTGTTTCATAGCTGCGTGTTGTCACGAGAAGGAAGAGAGCTTTGAGTGCACGGTGAACCAGAGTAATCACAAAAGGACTGGGGCTTTCTTTCATGGAAGAGGAATCCTAGATTACAGGGTGATGCAGCAGTTAATGTTCGGATAATTAATCCGAGCCACAAATGGCTACACAAAGCCATGACTATGGATTGCATATAAGTGCTCTAATTCACTTCAACTCTTGTGATGGGTTTAGATTGGGGATGTACCCCCAAATTCTACTTCATTTACCACTGTATAGCACGTGGGAATGCTGGTGCCAGACAGGCACAGATTTGATCATTTAAAATGTGTTCCGTTTCTCCTTTTTTCCCCCAATTTTGGATCGGCCTGTACCACTTTTTCTCATTTTCATTTTTTTAAAAAACTACTTGGAGATGTTTTTCTGTACATTTCTGTAAAGCTTGTTAATTTTTTTACACACATTTGTCAGCGTGTCTTCTGCCAAGGTATTCGCTTTAATGTCCACTTTTTTTTTTTTTTTTGTAAAATTTTTATTAATTTTCAATAAACAAACATACACAAACAAAACACAAAACATGAAAACATAAAACTTCTTTTTGGAAAACGGCTTAGTCCCGGGTTACATCTTTTTGTACAGACATAAATTCGAATTCATGCTCACTTTATATACCATTTCATATCTTTTTTACCATTCTACATTTTCTATATAGCTTCTCCCCTCTTTTCACTCTCTTAATTCTGTTTTATTTATTTCATCTCAATTTAAATCATTATGCTTATATCTTTTGTCTGTTCTGTTTCAATTATCTATTATCTTTTCTCATTAACACAAAATTTCTCCTGTAATCACTGATTGAAGTATGACGCCTTTATATCTTTCCCCTAAATTTAACACTTAAAATAATATATAATTTTCATTCGGATTCTGCTTAGTACATTCTAAAGCTACGTACTATATTTTAAAGTAAGACAAAATAATAAATTTATAGTATAGTTAAAACAATAATCCATAGCAAATTAAACTCTATCGTTAAGTCTTAAACATTTTACACATTCCTTTTAATATTTTATCCCGTTTTATAATCATATAATATTCCAGTTTTCTAACACTATTTCAAATACAAATACAACAATACAGTCCTTATGTACTTTTGCAGAATCTCTTTTTTAATTATATTTTTACCCATTATCTCTGAATAAATCCTGTTTCTTTACATCTTGTTTCAAACCTTTGTAACTTCTCTTCCCTTTTTTCCTTCCTTTCTTCTCCAGTCTAGCCTTTTTACCCCCTTGTCTCTTGATCTCCACCCTCTTGATCTCCACCCTCTTCTGTATTCCTCTTTTCTGTTGCTTTCTGACGTTGTATCGATTTTTCACCTTATTTTTCCCTTTTTTGGTGGTTTTTTTAAGTCTTAAATTCTCCATTCTCTTTCTCCTCTTTCCCTTTTCTTCCCCAGCTAGAGTTGTTTGTTCGTTAAAGATGGCTTCTTCTTCATCCCAATCTTCTTGTTCTTGTAGTTTCTGATAGGTAGAAATCGCCATTTCTAAGAAATGAAAAACAGAGCCAGAAGAGCCCTTCCCTTCTTGTTCCTCTTCTTTTAACTTTTTAAATTCCATTTTCAGTTCATCGACAAGTAATGCCATTGTGAGAAATTTTTTAAACAACCCAAATGTTTTTAGTCTTTCAAATAATAATTTCCAAAAGTCCCAAAGTCACCAAACAATCCAAATACACACAGACTGTTTCATTTAACACTTTCTTCTTTTTACACTTTCTCTTCCTAGGGTTACAGTTCAGTTGCAAAGTTCCAATTAAAATGTATCTTTTAGAAGTCTTGTTACAATTTAGCTCTAGTCTTATAAATTCCAAGCAGCCTCCTCCAGCAAGATCTTGATATTAATTCTTTTCCTCTCCCTTCCCACTTATAGCAAAAAAAGTTTTTCTTTTCAAATGTTCAGAAATCTTTATTGTCCCCTTGGCTTTCATTTTCGAGTTTAATTACCTGCTGATGCCAAAATGGGTTTTTCCGATTTCTCACCCATCTGCTATCACCGTAAGGAAGGAGAGTGAGAAAAAACAAACTTTCCCTTTTTACTTTCATTTGCCGCTTTTTCCGATCTTCTTTGGGAGCGTTGTATCTTTAATAAAATTTAAATTCCAGGGTATTTAAATGTTACTTATTATCCCGGTCAGCCAAAACTTTCACTTCTCAGCTTCCTCCTGCACATTCTTATCCGGATGAGAGCTTCTTTGTGGCGGCCATTGCTGACCGCTGTTAAGCCTGGATTCCCCAACGGGTGTTAAGGAAAACAAACTAAACAGAATGTGCAGCGAAGTCAGATAGGAAGACAGGTAAATGTGTGAGATAAGTTTTCTAGTTAACACGCAGTAAAAATACAGATACGCTTGTGCTATCAAAAATATAGTTTATTCCATTTAAGAATTATAGCATAGTCAAAATAAACGGTCCATTAGTCATATATCATTTTCAGTCAAGTCTTGTCGGGGATACTCTATTTGCAAAGTCCGTGTTGAATAGCCAATGTCAGTTCACTTACAATAAATCCAATCTTTATTTTCTCTCCGTTGAGAAATATCAACACTCCTTTTTCTCTCCCCGTTCCAGCAAGAACGCAGTCATCAATCCATCCAGTAATTAGGGATCTTCAAGCCAGAGAGAGCGAGCTGCAATTGCCTCGCTTCTTATATAGTGCTTTTACAACCACACCCTTAATTACATTCTTGCTGTTAAAGTTACACACACTTTAACTAACAAACCATGATACCTTATTTATTATTTTTACCCAAACCAGTTAGGGTAAACAATGTTATCCCTAACAACCGCCGCTCCACCACTTTCTGAAAAGGGAGTTAAGCTAGCTGAGGAGGGGGGTTGCGATTCCCCCAGACCTCTGCCAGGTCTCCCCTGTCTTCAGTTACCTCTACGGGGTAACTATAACCCCAAATCCGGCTGGATCGGGGTACTCCAGCGGTGAGCGCAGCAGAAACCATGCACAATCGCGGATTCCTGCCGCCGCCGAAGCCCTGCAAACCGGAAGACTCAATGTCCACTTTCTCATATGCCCAATTTGTTTGCATTCCTTTTTTTTTAATATGCACGTTTTTGAATGCACTTTTTAAGCAGATTTGAACTCTGCAAGTATACCTAGAAAAGTAAAGGTTTGGGCCAGGCAGTGCATTGAAATTAGTATACATACATTGAACATTTTCTCATTGTGATGCAGCGAAGGAGTAAATTTCTCGGAAGTTCTTAATTGGTCCCCGTTGGCTGAGAGAGCTAAATGACCAATAGCTGTTGGGATTCCTGAGCATGTCAGCATTCTGGATGGGGATTTACACTGCCATTGTCAAATCCTGTTGAAAATGGCTCTCTAAATGAGGTTTACGAGTGAGGCAGACTGGATAACAGAATCGTTTGTGATATTTCAATTTCACACATTAATACCATGTGTTCACAGATTTATGTTTTGTATATGCAAGGAAACTGAAGGAAAAGGAAGCCTAGGCATTTAAGCAGGGTACCAATGGCAAGGAAGAAGCTCGGGAGAGGAGTGTTGGAAAATGGAATCATAGGGAGTGCTTAAAGGGGGTTAATTAAAATTTCTTGTCTCTGGGTAGCATGACAGTTCAAAAACACATTGGGGATTTTTCATTTTATGTTAATAAATTTAACAAGGCCCCATTCAGGTCGAATTAATGCTTAAGAAGTTGCTTTTATGCTCTCCTCTTGGGGGATGAGGGAGATAAAGTGTCTGTGTCTGTGTGGTGTGTGTGGGGTGTGTGTGTGTGTGTGTGTGTGTGTGTGTGTGTGTGTAGAGAGATATAGCACAAATACAGGTAGTCCTCAATTTACAACAGTTCATTTATTGACCATTCGAAGTTACAACATCATTGAAAAAAGTGACTTATGAACATTTTTCATACATAAGGCCGTTGCAGCATCCCCATTGGTCAGGTGATCAAATTTTAGATGCTTGGCAACTGACTCATATTTATGACAGTTGCAGTGTCCTGGATCACCTTTGGTGACTTTCTGACAAGCAAAGTCAGTGGGGAAACCAGATTTACTTAACAACTGCAATGATTCAGAAACAATACAGATTAATAGAGTTGGAAGGGACCTTGTAGGTCATCCAACCGAAGCAGGAGACCCTACACCATTTCTGGCAAATAGCAGTCCAGTCTCTTCTTGAAGGCCTCCAGTGATAAAGCTCCCACAATTTCTGAAGGCAACTTCTGTTTTCCATTGGTTGATTGTTCTCACTGTCAGAAAGTTTCTCCTTATTTCCAGGTTGAATCTCTCCTTGTTCAGTTTCCATCCATTATATCTTATCTGGCCTGCAAGTACTTTGGAAAATAGCTTGACCCCCTCCTCTCTGTGGCAGCCCCTCAAATATTGGAGCACTGCTATCATGTCTCCCCTGGTCCTTCTCTTCACAAGACTAGCCAAGCCCAGTTCCTGTAACCGTTTTTCATGTGTTTTAGCCACCAGCCCCCTAATCATCCTGGTTGCTCTTCTCTGCACTTTTTCCAGAGTCTCAACATCTTTTTATAGTGTGGTGACCAAAACTGGATGCAGTACTCTAGGTGTGGTCTTACTAAGGCTTTATAGAGTGGTATTAGTACCTCACTTGATCTTGATTGTATCCCTCTGTTAATGCAACTTAGGATTGTGTTGGCTTTTTTGGCTACCGTTGCACACTGCTGGCTCACATTTAACTGGCTGTCCACTAAGACTCCAAGATCCCTCTCACAGTTTCTGCTATTAAGCCTGATTTCACCCAGTCTATAAGTGTGCTTTTCACTTAATGTACTATTCACTTAACAAGTGTGGTGAGAAAGGTTGTAAAATGGG